CTCTCAGAATACCTTTTTTACTTAATTATTTTATATGTATGGTAACTGGAAGAAGTCACCTGAAAACACTGGGATGTGTTGTTCATGCAGTAAAACTGATTTTAACTGTATGAAGTCTTTGGATTTCAAAAAAAAATTTAAATGAAGGGCTGTCTTAAATGGGGACTTTGGCTAGATGAGGTTAGGGAAATACAATCTGTATGGACTTAGCAACAAAAAGAAACCTAAGACCATAGGAAATAACCTGCATTAAAAGAGTAGTATTGAAGAGCTTAGTTCTAGATAGAGGTTTCCTAGATGTCCTGCCTAAAATATCTGTCCAGGCCTCCCTCAGGCATGCTGTAAATACTGTTTTTTAAGTTACATGAATTTTAACAAAAAAGGAGAGAAGCTGAGGTAGGAATGTGAGCCTTTTATTTAGAGTTAAGCTTTAAACAAAGTGCTTGCAGTTTAAATTAATACTTCTGGTTCTTCTCTAGGCTTTCAGCTTAGTCTTGAAAGCAACACTGGGGGTGTCATTCTGTACCTGAGTTGGGCAGACGTGTGCCCCCAGGAATCCGGTTTGTCTAAATGTGCTCTGTTCTATTGTTTCTGGCTTATTGGCCCTTATGTAGACTCTTGCTTAATTTTTCCTTTTCCCCAGTAAAGTTTCAACCCAAGCTCAAAAGAACAGAGAATGCAGTTCTTGTTCAACTCTAGACAGACTTGGTCTGCTACTTTTTGTATATCTAACCTTTTGCTCACCTCAAGGCAGAGAGCTTTACTGCCTGAGTGGAGAGTTTGGAGATGGGAGTGATGGGATGGGAATGGCACAGGAAAAGGAGTGACAACTGGGAGCATTTGAGAGCATTTTCCTGGGACTTGTGCCTCCTTTTCAAGCCTAAATCCTGTGCCTTTCTTGACTAAGAACACCTTGTATGGAAACAGTAGTGGAGTGGCAAAGAATTGTTGCTGTGTCTGTTCTAGTTAGAGGAACGTAAACTTGGGAAATGCTGACTGGCTCCATGGCAGTGTTAGATTTTGGTTTCTGAAAGTGTGCAGAACATCTTACCTGCCTGCATACTGTTACACATATATTCATGTTGTGCCCTTAGATCAGTAAGAAAATACTCAAGCTGTAACAATGGTAGTGCAGAAAGCAAGATAGATTAATGGCACCTCTGTTTCTGGAACCATTAGGTTTAACAGGAATGTGTGTTAGATCTTGCAGCTTATTTGAAAAGTAAACTCTGCTTTACACTGCAGAGGAGGTCTGAAACGGGGATGGGAGAAAAGAGGCAATAAAATTCCCCACCCTGGTAGCTCCAGATTTAGAATTGAGTTTAATCAGAAGTGTACCTGTAAGATGGACCAGCCAGAGCACCCAGGAAAATATTTTGCATTAGTGCTGTAGGTCTGCATTCTGTTTCTAGGTATGGGTAACTTCTCATAACTTCTCTGAACCTTTGTTTAGCCTAGCAAAAAGGACAAGCTCTTCTGATTTTATCTATATAAAAGACATTACTAGATCCTAACTATTCTATTTTCTACATCTGTTTCAGTTCCTGTTGTTGGACACGTATGTGCAGGTTTTGTCATTCAGTATTTCATATGTGGTGTTGTGCTCTGTAAAATTATTTTGATTCTTCCCTGTTTCTACTGGACTAAGCCTTTTTTAGTGTCTTTTAGAACTGAAGCTACATGTAGCTTGCTAGTTTTCCTTCTGTAAGCCAGAACAGCCAGGCATTTCTTCTTCCTTCATCTCTTCTTTGTAGCTATAGATTTTATGATTGAGCTTATGCAAATTTCCATCTTTTTTAGTATGGTGGTCTCTTTTTTCTTAGAGTGGGCACTACCTTCTGACTGTGTGCCCAGGGACGTGGTGGAGTCACCATCTCTACAAATGTTCCAAAAACTAATGGATGTGGTACTTAGTGCTGTGGTTTAGTTGACATGGTACTGTTTGGTCAAAGGTTGGACTTAATGATCTTGGAGATTTTTTCCAACCTTTATGATTCTATGATATCTACTATTTTTAATATCTGTTTACTGCATAGCATTTAATTTTTCTCTCTGACTTACCTGGCTTTTATCTTCAACTTGTTGATTTATATTTCAGGAATTATTGAAAATAACATCTCTTTGTTGCCCTGCAACAAAATGTTTCTGGGCATGTGCTGTCTCATATATTCAAGGAGTACCTGTTATATGGCACCCAAGGCTTTGCTCTGTGATGTTAATAAATTTGCTTTCCCCTTGATCTCATTGCAGAAAGGTAGAGTCACAAAGAGGGATGTAATAACTCAGAATTTAGTTGAAAATGGTGTTGCTGTTAGAAATCATATGTAACCTTAGACTACTTGGTCATTTTTTTATTTCTGGCTGGAAGGTTTGGGTAACACTCCAAGGAAGAGTTTTACATTTGGACCAAACTTAATTTCCTTCCATTTTGAATCATTCAGAAACATAGTATCTGGTTTTGCTTATGTAAAAATAAATAGGGTGTTAGATAAATGTCCTTATGTCCTACTTATATGTAAACAAGTATGCACATAGGATTTTCCTGCATTTCTGCATACCTAAGCTAATCTGTGGGTTTTGGTGGGTTTTGTTTTTAAATAATCTTTGTACATCTAAATATTTTGGGCTGTGCTTGCCAGGTGCAAAGCTCTAATGCAAGTATGAACTTCATTCTTTGTGGAAAATAAAAAGTCTGAAAAATATTGAAGTAAACCCAAAAGTGCTAAACTGTCTCTTGCCCAGCTTAACATGTATATTGTACTTGCATGTATATTGGAGCCAGAAAAGACAACTTAAAGGGCTGGTAAATGAAAGGAGAGGGATGCTGAGTAAACAGGGTAAACTGGTGATGGTAAAATGACTTCTCCCAGGTTAGCAGCCAGCAAGGGCCAGGAAGCTATGGAAGAGGCGGAAGGATGCTATAGTAAAGGTTGCTAGGCTACTCCAAGGTAAGCTCTTACAAAGTGCTGCTCAGCTATGCTGAGCATTTTTACTGCCCAGCTGCTAAGTAATGTGTGTGTAGTCTTGTTTGCCTGGCTACCAGCCGGAAGTGGAAGTTTGAACCGCTAAAAAATGTTGTCCCTTTGTAGGATGAAACTTGGTCACATGCCAGTTACTACCTTTTGCAAGACTGACTGTTTTTGGTTTCGGTCACATTGACTGACAAGGAATGTCAGGAATTCTGCTGAACATGTTTGAAATGGAGCAGCAAACAATAGGTCTTTGATTCAAGTATAAAAGTATAAAAACTTGCATGAATTTAACCTGTTCTGGTGGTGATCATTGGTGAGGTCTTGGTTTGTCTGTACTGTTTTGGCCTTTCTTTTGCTCTGTTAAGAAGCTTACTGAAAATGGAATGTGGGTTCTTTTCCTTTTATCTGGATTTGATGTCATTTTTGAAATATTTGTAAGAGGTAATCTCTACCAGTAAGAATTATTTCTTTCAATTGCAAGTGCAAGGTCATCAGTTTTTCTTCTGTAAGGGAGGGTAAGTCTTCATCTGCTTTTTTGGTAATGGGTGTCGTGTACTGTGTTTTGCTCTACATATAGGTAGAAAACACACATTTATGCTTCTTACATGTAATTTAATTTTTTGTCTTTGTCCCAGGAGATCATTTTAACAGAAAGTTAAAACTAACTCACAGACAGGGACAGAAGAACTGAATATGGAATTAAAATTATGGTGTGTTAAAATTATTCCATCTGTTGTCTCCCTCCTTGTGAGCTCTAACACAATTACCCAGTTCTCTTCTTGTAACACCGTTTCCTGAACAGGTGCTACAACTCTGCCAATAATGTTGTTTCATGAACAAGTCAGACACTGTAAGATCCAGCAGCAAAAAAAGGATAACTTACTCTTCAACATTCATGAAGGTGCAGTGTATATAACATAAAAGGGACTGGATCCAAGTCCAGCGGCCTATTGCCAGTTGGGGACTCTCAAGGCAAACTCATTCCCCTGGCATATATCTTCCCAACTTTGCTCTGATACGTAGCCCAGGGATTTCATGAAAAGAAACTAACTTTTTTAATATAAATTTTAAATTTATATAAATAAATAAAATATAAATATATAATATAAACAAATATTTTTTTTTTCTAAATTCCCTATATCAAGTTGACTTCTGTGAATTTTTGGGGGTGCTTTTTAAATCTATGTTAAGTACTAATATTCACATACCATGCCAGGAATTCCAAAGTTCAGAATCTTGCTGCAAAATTCACCTATGTGTTGTGTGAAAGACTGACGTGTTTGATTCTCATTGCTAATTTTACCCACTGGTGTCCATTTCTTGTAGTGAGAAACTTTGAACAATTATTACCTCTAGTTTTCTTCACTAACAAGGCATTGTTATATAGATTTTTGTTTGCAAAAGTTTCTTTTCCTCAGGGAAGACTTCTTGTCTACTAACCATTCCTTGTAGATGTGGTTATGTTGTTTTGAGTACCCTGCTTGTGACCTTCTCCGTGCCTCTTTCAGTTGTTACACGTTTTCAGAGATGAGTAGGGGCTAGGATTGGCACTACTAAGAATGGATTTTATACAGTGACATAATGTATCCTACTTCGTTTTATCAGTCTTTTATATGAATTCTTAACGTTTGTTTTTGGTTTACTACTGCTGCTGTTTTTATTATTCCAGAATCTTGTTGCAAAGTGGGCAATCTTCTAGCAGCCTGTCATCATCTGGAATATTAGGATTCTGGGCTTTCTCAAATGATTTGATTTACTTTCCATCTCCAGTGTATTTGTTGTGCAAATTTGATATATACTCATACAGTTGCATAAAGAGCTCATGACACTATAGGTATTTCTTGGTTTTATAGCTTGGAATAGCTTAAAATTATCAAAAAACATTTCATGGATATAAAAATTTTAATAATATTTTCATGACACTAAAAGTACACAATTATCTGTGCAGTACAAATTGTGAAATTAATAACAGGAATTTTTTAGTTTTTAATTGCCATTGCATTAATTTACAAACTCAATCTTTTGCAGTTTTGTTGCTAGAGAAGATGGAACATGATGACATTTGTAATAAAACTCTGAAGATTACAGACTTTGGTCTGGCTAGAGAGTGGCACAGAACAACCAAAATGAGTGCAGCAGGAACTTATGCATGGATGGCTCCAGAAGTTATCAAGTCCTCCATGTTTTCTAAAGGAAGTGATATTTGGAGGTAAGAAGTTTGACTGCTGAAGACCATGTTCAGTGGAACTGTGTTGAGGGTTTCGACAGAATTTTTTTTGGTTGTTTGCTAGGTTATTGTCTCAGCATATGGCCAGTTTAGCTCTTCTAAGAAATAAACACATTTTTTAGTATTTACTTCAGTTGCTATACCTTTTGTTATCCATTACTTGCAAACAGTGGGAGGAAGAGGGAAAATAAAGAATATTTTTTTAAAGCAAGCTCTCATTAGGAGAAGCCTTTAAAATATTTGTTGGTCAACATAACCAAGTGTTTCTATGGAGTCTTATTCTAAATAACTGTATGCTCTTGATGTATGATTGATCTCATTTTGGTAGGTTTATTTTATATTAGATGCCTGAAAGCGCTCAATCTGCTTAAAAATGGGAGCAACCAAGAATTGCCTTACATGCCTGATAAATAACAGTGAGGTGCAAACCAGAACTTTGCTGAGTGTAACCTTGAATTTGTGCTGTTTTTAGGAATCTGGAATGTGATTGTGTGTAAAAGTTTATACTAGATTGAAGCATTCTGCATTTACAGAGATTTTGCTTCCAGTAGCTGGAGTAAGGAGAGTATATTCAGCACAAAATTGTTTTAACTTGATCTCTAATTTAAAAGGTGGGAAATGGCCTGCGTTAAATTTGTGAATTTCTCATTTAAGATGTTGTTGTGGATAATATAAATAATACGGCTCTCACTACTGATGCTTTTTTTGAGTGGTGTAGTGTGGGATACATGTTCTGTAGAAAGGTAATTCAAACTTTAGTTTTAATTTAGTTCTGTTTTGTGAGTGCAGAAAAGCAGTGATTGCACAATAGGCTCTAAAAGCTGCTGTGCCCCACCTTGAAAAGTCTGCATTTCCTTTCTTTTTGACGTGCTTTCTCTGAAGGGTCCAAGATAGCTATTTGGGGAAGGAGGGGAGGACTTTAATGTGTTTTCTCCTGCCGCTTTATGCATGTTCTGTATTGTATAATTGTAAAATAGGGTCCTATTTTGCTTAAATGCATGATATTCTGCAGCATGAAGTAATATTTCTGGTATTCTCGTGATGATTCTGTACCTGCACTGCTGTTTTGTGACGCTCATTTGTCTTGTCTCTGGAAGCAATTTTATTTGCATTAGTCTCAGTTGATGCCCTGTTGGGAAGCATCTTTGGCCTCATTCTATTTTTTTTCCATTCTTTCTTACTTTTTTCTATTTTTTTTTCTTTTGCGGGATGGAGGTTGGGTGTAGGCGTTTCCCTAATCAGCTGTATTCCATGCTTAATTACAGGTCCTGTCCAGTCTTGTTGCTGTGATTTTAGGTATCTGAGGGGGTATGCTTTGGTGCAATTATTTTATATTCTGCTGCAACATTAGTTTACATTTTTGGAACCTACAGTATTTCTCTTCTTCGCCTTCTCTTCTGCACGCCTCTCTTGTAAAAATGTAAGTATTTAGTTCAATGATGGAAGTCTAACAGGAGAGGTTTTTAAGTAGAAAGGCTGTGTTTTGCAGTATAGTTTAGACCTTCTTAGCTTCTAAACATTTTCTGCTCACTGCACCTTGATCTATTCTGTTGCTTATCTTTACTCTTTCTTTAAAAGAAAAGCAAATAAAGAGTATCCTGGTTACAGGAGTGGTTTTTGTTTTAAAAAGCCTTCAGGTTACCAATTTAAGTATATGGGTCTCTCTTAAGACAACAACACAGTGTGTTTCAGCAAGTTTCTAAACCTCAGTTACACATACTGAGTGCTGAGGCTCTGAATGAAATCTGCAGACCTCTTATTAGGAAAAAAAAAGAGCAATTGATTCTGCTCAAGTTGAGGCAACTCACACTTCCAGCTAGTCTTCCAGAATCTGCCAGTGCTCAGAAATGCTGTGGGAGTATTTCCATGCAGAGCCTTCCAGGCTGTATGTTCTCAGGTGTCATCCTAGATAGCAGAACTAGTGCTTTCCAGGCCCTGCATGTGTGTCCTTTCACTTTCCAAACCAGAGCTTTAACTACTGTATTTATTTTATTCTGTATTTATTTTACCTGCTTCCAAGTTCCCTAACAAGAATTCTGCTCTTCCAACCCTACCCTTCCATCAATCATCACACGTTTCTGAGTGGTGTGTCAGTCTTAATTTTGTGTGGAGCCTGAAAGTGCAAATATGCCCACAGATTTCCAGGTGCTGATGGTGTGCTTCAGCAGTGGTCTTTAGAGTAATGTTCATACAAGCCCTTGGCAAAGCCAGGAAGCATCTACTGTACAGCAGAATTAGTAGTTGCTTCTGTCTGGAACATTTGTATAAATTTGAAGTGATTCATGTAGCAGTGCTTAGTAACTACTGCTCTAGAAGATGGATTGTAGAGTAAAATAAACTTTGAGAACCTTACCTTCAGTTTTGCAGCTCTTAAAATATGTAAAATCAGGTTTTCACTGGAGTGAGATGCAGTAAGGCTTAAATCACATTTGATTGAAGGAAAATAATTTTAATAATGAAAATACTTAACATATTTTTGGAAGTGTATTCATTTTTGTGGTTTAAAATTATGTATTTCAATGACAAGCTTGTGGCTTTGACCTTTTGCTGACAATGGAAAGGGACATAGCTTTTGCTCTTTAAAGAAAAGCTATTTCAGACTATATGCATAAGACAATTGTATGTGAGCTGGTGAAATTTAATACACAGAATAGCTACTTGTGTAATTCAGAGGGTTGACAAGTAGTTGTTTTCCTAGATAGTGACACATTAGTACCTCCCAAAAACTCCAGCGTATCAAGACCATAATGCCTTTAGGCTTCCCCCTTGCAGTTTTTCCCCCATAGTCCTGGCTCTTGGTACTTGACATTAAGACTGCTTTCATTAAAGGGTTGTTACTGTGTTGGTCTGTTTAAAACTTTACAACCACCTTCTTGGCACTGTTGAGAACTCCTTAAGATTAAAGGCTTGAATTGTAAATATAACCAAGGCTAATAGCATGATACAGCTTTTTTATAAAAGGTGACTTCTTTTTAGTTAAATTTAATGTTTTACTTATCTTCAGAGTTCATGCTCAAATACATATGGAATAGTTTGAATGCAGGAATTACTTGTATTTTGAACAGTCTGTACATGCTGAGAGGTCTTTTTTTTTATGCTTTCTCCAAGGATACAGATGAACTGTAGTTCAGGAGAATTCCTCCATCAGACATAAAATGTGTATGTACCACAGGAAGTGTTGAATTCATTATGGTCAGAATACCATTGTTTTAAAACAAATTGGAATTCATTATTTTAACCTTCTTTTAGCATACAAGCAAATGCAGAAATTAGACCAGAAAAATCAGGAGGAAATTATTAAGAAGCGCAAGACTTCTAAAATTCCTTTTTCTTTTGGCTGCAAATGCAGACTCTTTCCTTCAGCTTTTGATGAAGTGTTAGCACTGTAAATTCACTAACTTTTAAGATTTTATGAAATGTAATAATTCTCAGACCATAGATAACAAAGTACTGCTGATACTTGTGGTGATATTGTGTAGTTTGCTGTTTTATTATTTATTGAGGTGATGTCATAAGGTGTTGTGTAATGCTGACTGACTTTTTCTCATTAAGCAGAGAGTGATAGAAAACCTTAACTGGTGTGTGTTCTTCTCCCTGTCACATCTGGTCCACTTGTGGTGTCATTTCTAATCTTAAGGGGTGCGTAACCCTCACTTCCCCAGTGCAGAATGCTTTTCTTCTTGTCTTGGAGAGTTCAGTCTAGTCCTGCAAAACTTGTAGGTGGTTTCTTTGCACACTTGGAGAAAAGGGTCAAGAGCAATTGTTTGTATTCTGTTTTTTCCTTTGCCTGCTCACTTTACTGGTCAAAAGCAGCAATAGGTTGTCTTTTGGATCCTTGTTCTACAGGTAGTGATTCCCTGGCAGGAAGAAGTGGAGAGGGTATGGGGGATGAAGGGAGGAACAAAAAACAAAAGGAAATCCAGTCATAAAGTCCACTTTAGGCTAACATTCTGAAAGGAGTAATTCCCACTTCACAAAAATGACTGTGAAAGCTGTCCATTTCAGGGGTGGTAGAATAGGAGCTCTAGAGCCACAGCAGCCAGCATATTGTCCCTGCCCTTTGCAGGGGCTTGGGTCATTTGAACAAGCCAAGCATTGGGCATACAGACCCAAAGAAGGTAAAAGCAACACCCAGCTCTTTGAGTGGAGAGCATTGCAGAAATTCTTATGGTTATTGTTACTGTAATAGGAATTCCTGTGGTTCTTGATGTCTGTACCTGACGCTGAGAAAAGATCTCTTCATGTCACCACCTTTCGCTGGAAACAGTGTTAACATAGTGTTACTGTGTTTGGATTTTGTGGGGGGACTTTTCTAGAATAGAGAAATTAATTGTGTGTGCATGAAATAATTTCTCAATCTTGTTGCATCTTCAGTGGGAAGTGACAAGTTAACTGGCCTTTATATATACAGACAAGGTTAGAAATGTAAACTTCCAGATAAAGATGGGAGTTTTCTGTACTTTTTATTGCTGTTATTTAAAAAAAAAAAAAAAATAAAATATATCCCTCTAGGCAAATTGCTGTAAAATATTTGGACACGGGAATGGCCTCAATGCTCTGCTGAGGATTTCTTTTTATTGTTTGTTTGCTTTTTGGTGGGGACAAGGTTGCTTGTTTTCCTGTCATTCAGACTTTCTGTTTTAAGTCAGGTTTATGCGAAATTAGCATTTCTATAGAAGTGGCTTCAGGCTTACATTTTGAATAAGAGTCTTATTCAAAGTGTCTTAAAGTCGCACTCAATTTGCTTAATCACTCTAAGTGGAAAGGTGCACGATGACAAAAGCAGAGCTGACTTAAAGGCATCCACTTTTGACTGGGAGATCCCTATGAATTTGAGTACATGACTGGACAGATACTTGTGTTTTCTTGTATTCTTTTTGTTTCTTTCCCAGAAAATAACTGTTTAAAACATTACCTTTTGTAGTTACGGAGTGTTGCTGTGGGAACTGCTTACAGGAGAGGTTCCTTACCGTGGCATTGATGGCCTCGCTGTGGCTTATGGAGTAGCTGTCAATAAGCTTACTTTGCCCATTCCATCCACCTGCCCTGAACCATTTGCAAAACTAATGAAAGGTATCCATGTTGTTTCTTCCTATGTATTGAAAGAATTATGTTTTGAGGGTATGAAATAATCATGGGGTTGCCAAATAAGTACCTCATTTGATAGTGTGCTGCTTAACAAGTATTTTATTTTTCTTTACACAGAAATCTGGTGTTACAGGGAGCTGGGTGTGTTTCTGAGGGAGCCGTACAGTGTTGCATATAAGTTTTTCAGTAGCAACAGTACAGTTTGTACTCTGATTTCACAGATTTTGTTCTACTCTGAAATTGCATTAATTTCCATAAATGACAGGATTATACTGTGGATTAATACAAGATGAGACTAAAATCCCAGGGGGAAGAATTGCGAATGCCTTTTTCTTTTCATTGTTTCATCCTGAGTGTCAAAAATGTTTTGGAAATATTTTAGAGAGAAAGCCATTGCTTGCTAATGACTATTTTCTTGTGTTTAATGAATTTTTCTACCTCTTAATTTATTCCTTCTGTACAATATTGCTAGTTTTGCTATTTCAGATGCTAAAAATAGGCAAAAAAATTTTACTATTAATACAAAAACAATCCTCTGAATACAAGCAGGTAGATATTGGAGTCAGAGGCACAGATAATATTCCCTTATCTGTGCTGGCAGGCTGTGACTCTCAAGAAAACATTGAGTTTAACTTAAAACCATGGAAAAGGTTTCTAGAATTAAGTAGAGAAACTGAGAATGTGTGTAAGACAGAATTATATTAAGTCACTGGGTGAAAGTTAGAGTTCAGGGTTTTAGCTATATTAGTGAATAAGAGATAACATGGAGGATTTAGGGCATTGTCCTTTCCTCCTTCTTCTTCTAAGGTTTTTGGGTAATACTAAGGGATTGGATGAAAGAATACGCATTGTGGGACACAGGTGTCTAGTTACTGGGTTAATAATGAAAATAAGTTACTTGGCATTTCCTTTTTGGATGGGTTGACACTTAAAAGACCTTGAAGAGATACTTCTTCAATCATTTTGCTCCTTGTTACCCTAGTGTATATAGGTCCTTGTAGTCTGTAAATATGTAATGTAGATAAGGAAGAATAAACATCGTCAGCCCGAACATGAAAACAGGTCTCTCATCAATCTCAGTCCTGGGGGAAAGAACTGAACCACCAGTGTCACCCCCACAGGTAGATGCCACCTCTATAAATTGAGACAGAACTGGGGATGTCTTGCAGGTAAAGGGAACACATCAGAGCTTGAAATGCAGTAGCAAGTAACTTGAAATTCACGTAGTTCTTTAAAAAGTTCTATGTGCTATTACAAACTGACGGGATTTTGATAAATTCTAGAATGCTGGGAGCAGGACCCTCATATCCGACCATCGTTTGCCTTAATTCTTGAACAGCTTACTGCCATTGAAGGGGCAGTTATGACTGAAATGCCTCAAGAGTCTTTCCACTCCATGCAAGATGACTGGAAATTGGAAATTCAGCAGATATTTAATGAATTGAGGACCAAGGAAAAAGTAAGTTGATTTTTCCAATTGCATGGCAGCGAAGGGAGGGTATGTGTGTATGTATGTTTATGTGGTACAGCAGTTTTGAACTTTTGAATTGTTGCTTACCAATGTACTCATGCAGATATACAGGCAGTTGAAAAAGAAAGATATCCACACCTGTCTCCCCAAAGAAAATGGGTTGTAGATCTGTAAATGTGGCATTCTAGGCTCTTTTTTAAAATGTGTTATTTTTTTTCTTGTATGTTTGCTTGTATCACTTAAATTTAATTTATCCCTTCAGCTAATCTGACTGTAAATTTTCAGCTGCTGTTGAACATTCTCCTCAGCTGTGAGAATGAAAAGTCTTTCATCCTCTAATGTGACTGTATCCCATGGCTTCTTTTCCAAAAATGTAATTATGCTTTTATCTCTCTTCTTGCTGAACAGACTGATCATATGGATGCCTTTCAGTGTTGCATTTTGAGACCTATTTTTGCCAGATACTAATAAGGTCAAACTCATATATACATGAATCAGCAAATCTAGTTTCTTTTATTATTCAGATTTCTGTCACTGATCTTCTTTCCATACTCTATCATCGCAGTATATTTGTACTAAGTGAGTACTCACTGTCAATTCTCTTTGTTTTCTCTTATACTCACTTCAACTTGGTTTTAACCACCCTGAGTTTTATATTTTCCTTTAGACAATTTGATAAAAGATAAATTAGAATAGGCCAGATGTGCTCGAGTCCCTGTTAGAAATGCTTCTGGAAAAGACAGATTCCTTCTTTGCAGGTGTTTCCTGCAATATAATTATTGCCCAGTATATATTTGCTCTTATTTTTCATGAAATGATTGTAGACAAGGAGGACAATAAATTGAAATGCAGTGGATTGTGAAGAAACTTTACAGATGTAGTCGCCAAGTTTGACAAAAGCAAGATCTAAACTCTTGTCTTTCAAGTCAGTTTGTAGCCTTTATCCTTCACTTCTCATCAAATGTCACAAATTGCCATGTGTGTGGACTTCTGACTAGTGTTGTGTGTGACATTACATATGTACTGTAATATTAGCACAGTGGTATTAGAATTTACTCATCACCCCTAAGATTGCAGTATCATTAAATACTTCCTCTGTGCTGTTTCTTCTACCCTCTGCATTTCCCTCTTCATTTTGATTCACAGAAGTGGGTAAGTATGTGGTGTGGTGTGCTCTGCCTGCAGTAGGCATACAGAGTGCTAGAGCTGAACTGTGTGCCTCAGAAGCTGTCAGGTCTCTTCCTTTGCAATTGAATTATAGTTCCTCTACAGGTAGTAGAGGCTTCCTTTTTTTACTTGCCTTGGTGTCACCAGCTACTGTGTTCACTTGTCTCAACCTGTCATAGAACATAACTCTGTTTTTGACCCCTCCAGCAACTGCTCAACCAACCATTTTCCTTTTTTTACTCTGGGAGCAATTGTAACAGGCCTTCCTGTTCAGATTCTATGTTTATTTTTTGTTTTTCTGGAGGCATTACACTAGTAGGAGATTTCCTATCCCAGAAAAATCTGACTAAATCAAGTCTAGGATTAAATAAGCAGGTGAAAAGGTTTATGAGAAGAGTCATATTTTTTGTTACAAAAGTGAGTTAAGCTCAGTTAGGGAGGGGGAAAAGATAAAATGAAATTTACTTTTGGTATGCTAAAGTAAGTGCATCTCCAGAGGCATCTACCCTAATGAGGTATACTTCTTTAAGACTGAAAACACGTAACTTTGACTCAGACAAAGTTTTCATATATGCAAGGTTTTTTAATTTGGCACATTATCAATTTTGCTATGAGCTACTAGAGAGAAAGTAATGTCTATAAAATACTTATATAATAATAAAACAATAAAAGTCCTCTGCATGGAGTCTCATTCCTTCAGTAAAAGAGGAACTTCTGTAGCTGGAGGAATTTCCTCAAGGGCTTACTGCAAATGATGGTGACGCCTACTCAAAGAGAAGATCACAATCTTATTTTGACAAATGTTCTTGAGCAACTGAAATACAAAATTCTTTCCAAGCTTCCTTACAATAGGTGTTTTAATTGTAGACTGGTGTGGAAACATTGCCTAACTAATTGCAATAAGTCTGGTTTTAATTAGTTTATTTGGAAAAGAGTAAATACTTAATCTCTCATTGAGAAAACACTTATACATCTTCTAGACTGTCTACCTTTTAGTAAATGGCCCTCAGTTTTTGCCTGATTGCTGAGCTTTGTGGAACCTGGATTTGAGAGCTGTGAAAGGTGGAAAATAACAGTGTCTCCTAATGTACCTTTACTACTCTACTAATGCAGTAATAAAGATCTTCTCTATTTAAACCTTAAAGTATCTTTTTTCTAAGTCTGAATGCATGTAGTTTCTGCTTTCAATCCTTGTTTTAGGTTGTCCTATTTTGAGTACACAGGGGAGGGGGAAAATGAGGATTTTTCAGGAGTCTCTAAATTAAGTTATTAAGTATCTTTAAAGAAAACCAAAAACAGAGCAAACAGAAGAACACTACCTAAAGCATTACTTGCTGGCATGAACAGGTTCCTTTGAATTTCCAAGAGGCAGAATTGCCTTTAGCAAGACACTGTATGTTAAGTAGGTCAATTAAAAAAAAATTTGGTTTCCAATACTGTGTTGAAACAAGTTCACTCAAAATTAGTATACCATATGAAATTTGTCAGTCATATCACTTACATTTTACACCCATGATAAGAAGTGTATGTGTGCTATAAGCTGTAAAAAAACCCAGAAAGTATCTTTCTGAAGAACAGACACTTCTCACTGAACCAGTTTGCTTCAGTGCCAGCCTGTCTTTTGAGATCCATAGTCTTTTGGGCTCATTTGAACACCCCCTGATTTGAAAACACTGAAGTAATACAGTACAAGAAGTAATTTTTTGCTTTAACAGTATAAAATAAGGAATTCTTCTGGCATAAAAAATTGCTGGATACCAATGAGCTGAATTGGGCAGTCAGTTCTGAAATAAAAATGAAAGACAAACAAACAAAACTAAGCAACATCACAATTATAAAATTGTATAGTGTACAAATTAATTTTAAATAGAAATAAAATTCTTAGATATCCTGAACTTTTAGCATAGTTTTCTTTCAAGCGATGGTCTTCTGAGTTGAATTAAGTGGAATTTACAAAATCATATGAAAAAAATATGTTGTGAGTAACATACATAGTATGAGTCACATCTAGTTCTCCTTTTCTTATACTTTCAGTACAGTGTTATTAGCAATATAAAGTGTAAGTGTTCTAAGTCTGTTTCCTGTGTAATATGCCCCATACTATGAAGGAAGGTCTGAAACTAGGGCGTCTTAAATTTCAGATGTATTTTAACAGATTTTGGAAACTGAAGATCAAGATAAGATGCTAGGTTTTACAGCTGTTTAGCTTTGGGTATTCATTTACCATGCAAAATTAACTAGCTTCTTTACTAAAGCTTTTCCAAAATTAAAAAAGAGTTAAAAGAGGAGCAGCTCTTCTTGAGAGTGGTGACTGGGGAGTCTATGTGCTGTAATTCAATGGTTAGTAGCTGTTTGATGATACAGATACCTGCTAAATTTAATTAAGAAACAGCTGTCTTATGACTTAATTTATCCTCTTGCACTAATCCACATTCAGTGTAATACTGATTTTCTAGATAGAAAAGTGCTACTTAATACGTGACTGAAAAACAGGAAAGGTTAGAGAATTTAAGATAAAGGCAATAATTTGTGTATTCGTCAGGTCATTGGCTTTATGTGAAAGCATAGGAAAGCATATTCAGTAGCAGCCCTCATGCTGTGCAAGAGTTTCTCATCGTGTGAAATACTTAAAACGCATTTTCCGCTGGGCTGTTAGCTGAGAATCTTTGATTGCATGTGTTGTCCCTATTTCCACTGCTTACCTGCTTTAAGTGGAGTGACTCAAGTTATATGGCTAAAGGAAATCCGTGTAATGCTTGATTCTGAATACAGAACCTTAGTTTCTTGAGAATGGAGGACTGGCAGAAGATTAGGCATATTGCATGCATATAGTGCGTCTTAAAAATAAAGCCAGAAATATAGCCTACTGTCCACGCAGCCTTTAATACTGCCTTCACACTATTACTTAGTTTTACTTTTGTGAATCTTGTCTTCAGGAGCTTCGATCACGAGAAGAGGAGTTGACAAGAGCAGCTCTTCAGCAAAAATCTCAAGAAGAATTACTGAAGCGCCGTGAGCAGCAGTTAGCGGAACGCGAGATCGATGTCCTGGAGCGTGAGCTGAATATCATGATATTCCAGTTAAACCAAGAGAAACCCAATGTAAAGAAGAGGAAGGGGAAGTTTAAAAGAAGCCGGTTAAAACTCAAAGATGGACACAGAATTAGTTTGCCTTCAGGTTTGCAATTTTTTAAAAGTTCACCGTATATGTAATGATTAAATATACCAGCTTTTTCAGTTAATGTTTTCAGTGTTGGCTCCTATTATATTTTGTTGCCAGATTCATCTACTGTAATGCACAGAAAGGTTTGGTAAGAACTGTCTAGCTCCCTCCCCACAAGGAAAAGCTTCCACATAGCATATTCTCATGAAGTAGTCCTCATTTCATGTGAAAGAATGATTCAGCTAGTAGTCCATCCCATTTGGAGGGAAAGTTCACTAGCACATGATTTAGTACTGGTTCAAAGTTCAGATTTTTGTTGTCATTGTTACTATACAGACAGAAACTACTTTTTAGTACATGCCAGAACTTTCTAACATGATCAAATATTAGTGCTGTTTGCCCTAAAATTGCAAATACTGAGCAGAAAAACGCTGCTTTGAGAGGGTTGGGGGTGTACAGGTGCCAGTAGATTCAAGCTGCACACTTACTGCAGTTGCAAGTACAACACAGCACTTACAATCTTCAGTGCCTTATTTCTTGCAAGAAAACATACAAATAGCAGCACCAGATGATTTCAGAATACAAATATGGTATAATTTGAATGTTAGAGCATTTCATTCCACCTGTGAATGCATTAAAATGCCCCCTTTGAAAACAAAGTGTGTTTGTAGACAGTGAGGATCTTTCAGTTCTCTGGGGCTGGCCTTTTTAATGTTGCCACCAGATAGCACTGCACAAATTCATAGTTTCATCAATGGTTGGAAAGCCTTCATTATTATTTCAAATTCATTACCAGCATCCTGGCGTTGGTGGGCTTCCTTTCAATGGCTTCCAGGTCAAGTCTGTCAGTTTGATGCTGTGTTAGCACAAGTCTGACCAAATCGTAGCTGTCTGCTAGCTGGAAAGACACGAAGAGGGCAGTAATATTTAGAGAACTATTTCAGCACTAGTGAAATATTTCTCCTTACTTTAAAAATAAGAGCAAATAAGATAAATGCCACTTTAGAGCCCCCCCAGACAAACATGGTAGATTTATGGTTTTTAGTTAGATTTATGCTGGATTGCAAGCTTCAGTTAAATATTTGGTCCATTTGTTTCCAGTTCTGCTTATATTTCACTTGAAACAGCGATAAAATAAATATTTTCATTCAGAATAGCAGTTAGCTTCTAGTTTCCAAGAGCATCCAGATGAACTTGTCCTTGAGACAATTCTATTCTAAGAATAGTGTACAATATAATTGCATTGGTGATGGGTGTTAGAGAGGCATATTAAGGTTCATTTAATAAATTTTTCTTCCTAAATATTTGTTCTTTTTTTCACTACTTTGCTATAAATATTTCTGTGTAGTTCTGTGGTTTACTGTCATGATTTTCTGACATGAATGTTTTCATTTTACTGTTTTCATTGTTAATGCTTTTTTTTTTTGTGTGTGTTATTATGTATATGAAATACATGTTAAAAAAAAATAAGGCAAATCTCATTGCCATGAGTATTTATTCATTTGAGATTAAATACTGAGAGGTAATTTTTGCTCCTCCTGTGACAACCAAAAGGATTGAATTTGTGGTGTGGATGTGTCTCACATCAGGTCTACTTGGACCTACTCACTGTTGTTCCTGTTCACACAAGAAGGTGTGAAGTCCTGCCTGTGTGACTCAAAATCTAAGTTGTTACAATTAGAGAATTTTTCAGTGTTTACAATATGTATATCTCTTATCTGTATAAATAGATTACAAATAATGAAGTCTAATTCATTATTTGACTTCATTTTAAGAAGTATAGCAGCATGTTCTTCTGAGAAGTTTTTATTCCAAACATTAAAACTGATTTGTTTTGCTCTTTTACAGATTTCCAGCACAAAATAACAGTGCAGGCATCCCCCAATCTGGATAAGAGGAGGAGTTTAAACAGTAACAGCTCTAGTCCATCAAGTAGCCCTACAATAATTCCTCGTCTTCGGGCTATACAATGTAAGTCTCCACTCGTTTGATCAATAGGGAGTGTTCCATATACATACTGAATGTCAGTAGTAGTATCACATTCCAGGTAGATTTCTGTCTGATTTCCACATCACTTGATTTGTTCTAACAGTTGCAACTTCTTTGAAGGGAGGGATAATACTGCTAATTTTCAGTAATTCAAAATGATTGTGAATGCTTTAAGTTGTATCTTAATTACTTTGGGAACCAATTTTTAAACTGATTGGGATAAAACAATGATGAATCAAAATTTATGACAAAAGGTAAAGCATCGCATTTAGAACCCAAGTATTATGGAAAACAAGTTTTTATTAGGTATTGGAGTTGATGAAGGAAAATAAAGGTTCAGAGAGTAAGGGAGTCTAGTAACATGGAAAGATCAAAGAATGAGCCAATAACCCAACTTTCTTACGTCAAAAAAGAATCAAACTTTAAGCAGGTATAAACCCAGAAGTCTTGCTTTAGGTTTTTTAAAGATAGGAAAAAGAGACCAAAAAAAAAATAAAAATTGTGGGTACATTTATAGGTCTACATTATTACGTATACTGGCAACAGAAAGGAAGGTATGTTCATGCTCACATAGTGGAAGTACCAGGAATACAATCATGTTATTACAGAGAAGCATGCATTTATATTTGGGAGTGACATAGATAAAACAGTTCCTACAGGATTCAGTGCTTGCATTTGTACTGTCTGATCTATTGTGCAAAGTAGATTGTCTAATTATCCATATTTAGAGAGGAATGCCTTAAGGTTCTCTCTCTTTATGAAATCAGTGGAACCTGTTCCAGCTGATTGCTTATGGATGTTGGCTGTCTTCTCTTGCAAGCACAGTCACCTGTGTGGGAGATGACTCCAGAATCTGGCTTTGTCAGCTATAAATGAGGAGAAGGGGAAATCAGAATGCATGAGGATCTTTTTCAATACTGTTCTTTAGCTAGTCTGTAAAGATTGATTAATTTTTAGACCAGCCTGACACTTTGTTTAAAGTTTGGATAGAAATCACATCTCTCATCTCCTTTGTAACACCTCTGCCTTACGAAGTCCTTTTCATTGTTAATGTGTAAAGAGGTGCAGTGATGTCTTCTTTGGCACTTCAGTGTTTGTTTGAGCTGCAATGGATACAATTGGCAACGTTGTGTATAAAGGAGAGAGGCGGACAAATTTGGAATGGAAGGAAAATCAACTGGAGTCTTTTTCAGATGTTAGCTGACAGAGTATCTGTTCTCAATAGTTTCCTGTGCTCAAAACATGGTAGATTTTTCTGGTTGGTTGGTTGCTTTGCTTTGCTTTTTGCAGAAAGGTAAAGAAAAGCTTTTCTTAGTAAAATGTCATAATTACATATAAACTGTCTCATTTTTTCTTTGATTTTTCTTGCTCTGTGAGGAATTGCTTGGAAATGAAGCAAATGTCAGGTATTGGCATGGTTCTGAAAACTTGAGTTTTCTGTGTTTGTTTTTTTAATTGCATAGCCTTGTGTAAGCTATTGTAGTGCCAGTCCTTGCATGTGTGCTAAGTGCCACTGAGGATTTTTTTTTCTTTTTTTATTTGAGCAGCCATTTCTATTCATAGAGCTTGAACATGAATGACAACATAAAGGCTCTCATTTGAAAGAGGTGCCTGTCTGCTTCTGAGTTTGGATCCTTAAATTTTTACCTAAAAGCTTATCAGATATCTCAGGAGTATCTAGCTGAAACAATTTAGCTTCCACACCCATCTGCACCTGTGCAAAATAAATTCCCTTTCCCACAATAAAGTTTTATCTTGATTTAACTTCAAAGTGTCTTTGTTTCAAGATGACTTGCTCAAATACAGGTGATTTGAACAGGCATATATAACAGTTGGTTACTTGACTGCTTCACATTATCTTGAGCAAGTCTAGCTTTCAAATCTAAGCATTAAGTTAAATAAAAAATCTCATTAATTTCTTATTAAAACAAATTCTGCTGATTTTGGAAGGGAGGGAGAAGGAAAACCACTAAGGTACGTACTCCATAGGAATGTAGTTGAAAATGAGAGTGTAAGGTCAGCAAGTGTAGTGCCATACTACAGGGTGAGCTTTGCTGGTGAGGCATATGGTGAGGAAGGAGGAGAACCTGTACACTGAAGGAACAGCAGAACCATGGACATGTAAATACCCCCTCATTTATCATGCTGTTATAACTGGCTACGTTGTTTTTCTCCTAGGTATCTCCATCATATCTATAAGCATGCCATCATGATACCAAGCTAATGCTTCAGTTACTTGGTGGCATGTGAAAATCTACTCTCCCGGATCAGGTCCTAGAAAGAGGGGCCTTTAAACCCTACCATGAAAACCTATCATTAGAAGATGCGTAATGCCTTTATAGATGCAGGCTTTACGACCCATAGATAAAAATGTGAGGGAAACAGTTCTGTTTCTGAAATCAATTTGACTAAGATTTCTACTACATTCTCTTAATTTTTCCTCAGTGATTCCAAAAACAGATACACACTCAGCTAATGGCCGAAGAAACAGTGTATATGTGTACCAGCAAGATGTAGATATCACAAGTGAATATGATCTTCCCTGTGGGGTTATGAAAAAAGGCAAGATTTCATTATGTTTCCTAGGTGCTGGTTCTATTTAATTTATCAGCTGAGACAGTGACAGACTAAGCATTTAATGGAGGCTAGACACTTTAAAGTATAATTTATTTTGGTGCAGTGAGAAAGAAAATGTTAATCATGGTCACAACTGGAATATTCTGTTTCTTTTGATACCAACTGTCCACAGAATATATTTTATTCATTGAATTTAAGTGCTCAGTCTAATTCACTTGTCTGAATTACCTAAATACAAGGTTCTCAGTTAAAGGAAGCATGGAAAATGTGATTGCTTTGCTGCTTTATCTTTAATCTGGGTCTCTTGTCAGCTTATAAATTGCTTTTCTTTCTTGCTCATCTTTTTGGATCAATGAAGTTAGTGTGTGGTGGTTGTTGTAAAAGAAAAAAAAACCCTCAATTTTTTTTCTACTCCTGTGTGTTACTGTGTCAAAATGGTTTTGCAGTGCAGAAGATACTCTGTTCTGTCAAAATATTTTGAGTTTAAAATAGTATTTATGTGTGTGGGTTTTGTGTTTCTAAATCCAATCTCCAGTAACTTCAGATGAAAGCAACAGAACTTGGGGAAGGAGCACAACATATCACCAAGAAGAGTTTGAAGATGTGAAGAGAAGTTTTAAAAGGAGAGGTTGTACATGGGGACCAAGTTCAGTTCAAACAAAGGACCGTGCAGATTGTAAGGACAGGTATGTCTACTACATTTTGGTTTTTCAATAATACTAAAGCATTCTTGGCAGTGGCATAGGTAGTGAGGGAAAAAAGTTCTGCTGTCTCTACAGCAAGAAATTCTACCTTTTAATTAATTTAGAAATTACATTACTGATGTAGCTGCCCCACTTAGTCTTGAAGATAAAACACCTACTTATGTTAAAGTTTTATTGATTCTTATCTATTGCCATTTATCTCTGTTTTTTTGAGATGTAGAACATACTGGGATGCTGAGCTACCAGTGCATACCAGACATTCATGGCCCGTCTTTCTTGCCCTTCTCACATTATTTTGAGGAATTGTAAGCATGGCCCCCACTGGGTACTTTCAGTATGATTAAGTAAGACTGACTGATTTGGCGTAAGCGAGGCACAGTTCACACCAGGAGCATCCTTTATACTGACAAACAGAGGGTGAAAGGGTTATGAAAATCAGCTGGACAGCTTTACTTACAGATTATGTTTTCAAAACTAGAGATAGTAAGAATTCTTTTCTTTATTTCTCTAATATATAAAAGTATTTATTGGGCCTTTCCTTATTTTTCTTGGTAGGGATAACCACTCGGTTATCCCAACCACCTGTATCAGGAGTTGGTTCCAGATGATCATTTGGAACTGGCTTTATATTATTTTTGTTTGTTTGGAAGTCACTGTTTTTCATAAACTTCCAATATTCACAACATTTCTTTGAGACAATGAAACTGTTGTCCAGGTTTTCACAAACCTGTGTTGCTCAAAGGTAGCAAAGGCCCATTTTTAATTTGCTTTCTTTTTAGGCATGAAATTTTTTTATCATAAAAAGAATACCTGACATTAAGGCATGTTTACATTTATGATTGTATGATTCAATGCTACTCTATCTTCTTTTTACCTTTGGAAAGGTTTTCAAGTTACGTACTTCAGGTTTATAGTTTGAAGAGAAAGTCATTTTCTCATAAAGTTTATGTGAGCATGGTATCTATCTATCTCAGAATAACTATTGTTATTGCAGAGTAAGACCCCTTTCAGATGGCAGCAACCCTTGGTCAACTGTTTTAATGAAAAATCAGAAGGGTGTTCCCTTAGCTTCACTATTTGTGGACCAAGGTAAGAGCTATTTTTGAAAAAGTGAAAGTAGACATATAATAGTATTACAATTACCTTCAGTGTTATAAATTGTATCACATTAATTCCTTAAAGGATTACACAGATTATTGTAGGAAAAATCATGCTGCCAGCCATTTTCTCCTGCAAAAACCCCGTGTATTTACATCATTACCAACTAAGAAATACACATATTATGTGAACAGAACCATATAGAGATTTTTTCCATGTTTTTGAGTTGCAGGCTACTCTGTATCTGAGGTCTGCAGATATCACTTTTTTGTTTCTTTTTAAAAGTACATAAAACAGTAATTGACTTGGCATTTAAATAACCACTGATGACATTATGACATCTGCATAGTTCTTTCAAAAATGCATGGTTTTTTTGCAACCTGTAAGCCCTGATATATTCCTGATAGATATTAGTTCCCTTTTTTTTTTGAATGAGACCTGTTGTCTAAGTTTTCAAGATAGAAATGCAGATTCCAGATCTTCAAGTGTTGTAGACAACATGTTGCTATTTACAGGTAAAACCACAAGGAAAATCATGCTTGGTCTCTTTAGGATCAGGAACATATTAGGTGCATGTTGCTTTTTATGAGCATTACTATAAATGGGGCCATGATGATAAAATATTTATAATAATTCTAAAGTTTGCACACCCTTTTTCTATACTGTGGATTCTCTTGTCTGAGAAAATTAAGTTACCACTGTCAAGAAAAAAGCCTATGATATAACCTGATGTCCGTACCAGCAGCTAGATTTATTCCATCTGGAAGAGGAAATAGTAAGCTGCTTGGACACTGCTGGAAAAAAGCCATTTTAATCTTTGTGTATAGTGGTAGGCATAAAAATCAAGGCTTCACAAATAGTAATTTTATAGATTTATTAGCTTACTACTATAACTCTGCCCACAAAGTTAACATACTTGAATTTCAAGTACTTCTGTGTTTATTCTGTTGCATTTAGTAGTTTAGAGTAGAATAACAATGCAAGTCCAAGTCAAATAATACATCCTTTTTATTTGTCATTAGATGTCAGATATCAAATTTACTTTTTACTCCAGACCACTATGACCAAATGAATTAATTGGAAAAATTTCTAGTAACTGACGGGATTTTGGAACTCAGCTGAATTGAAAGTATTGTAAAGAATATATTCCAGATCTTATCTGCCAGTTTGTGTATAGTAAATTCCTTCTCTGTAATCCATACAGCAAAATACTTTCTGTGTTACTTAAAAAGCATTATCAAAGTGTTGCAAACCCCAAGAGGTTTAGGTGTAGGATGTGTGTCTGAAAGTCAAAATGTGAGTCTGAGCTTCTGACAGCATCTATAAATGGGTTGTACAGAATCCTTCATTTTAAAGGAAATAGTGATGTACATATGCAGACATATGCTAAACAGTTTAATTGCAATCTTAAAGAATACTGTGATGTTTTACAGGTGCCTGTACTGATAAGAAGCTTATCCCTGAAGGTTTGGACAGTAAAAGACCAAAGCCAATTAAGTTGCCCAATCAGGCCTATATTAATCTACCTCTTTGGAAAGATGATCAGGGAGAGAACACAGTAGAACATGAGAGCTTTGAAGAAGGAACCTCTGCTAGTTCTACAAACAGTACTCCTCAAATGACACCTACAAACAGTCTGAGCAGGACGCTGCACAAAAAGAAGACTGACTCAGTGCTGTATGGGTGTGCTGTCCTCCTTGCATCCGTTGCCCTGGGCTTAGATATCAGAGAGTTGAACAAATCACAGGGTCCAGATGAACTCTTGCCTAAAGATGAGAAGAAGAAGCGTGATGGAATATTTCAGCGTGCTTCAAAATTCCGCAGAAGTGCCAGTCCTACGCGACTGCAGTCCAAGAAAGAGGAAACAAGTATTCCATCCCTTAATCCAGCCACAGATACTGTGAATCTTCTCTCTATGCCCTCCATTTCCACAAAATGCCTACTTCAACCTGATAGCGAAGATGCTTTTGTAAGCACTGTGCTTGGTGATTGTGGTCGGTGTAGTTCCACAGACAACTTTTCATCTCAAACTTCTGAAAGTAAGAGAGAACGAAGTATACAGCTGGCTCCGAACACAGTTCCGACACAATTGAAAAATCAGCCTTTTAGTCTTAGTCTGAAACAAGAATCTCACAATTTGCCAAAAGATTCCTCCACAAAGTTAAGTATGTTGGGTCACAGGCGAACCTTATCGGATGGGAACCATTTTCAGACCACAGGTAGGTAATGAAGAACTTCCATGAATCTTTAAGTTAAGCTGCTGATAAAAATTTAAGCACAAAATAATGTCTTTAAATCTAGTTTGCATTTAAATGGATAAGCTCATCATCAATGATTTTTTGAAAATAAGTTCTAAATTTCAATACTGATATTCTGGGGTGGCTTAAATGTAATACACTTCATGATACTCTATGCATGTGCAATTTTTCATAATAACTGGAGAAGTTCATTATTCCAGTATTAATATTCATCCAGTTATTGAGGGGTTAGTGCTTTGTCTCTGCATCTCTTTTGTAGCAATAAAAAGTAAATTGTGATTGCCAGTCGCAGTGAGTCTAGATGCAAACATGTTACTGGAGCACCACTGGTCTTGCCTTGGGAGATTCCCCACAATGTATAAACCTCTTCATTTTCCTGGTAGAATAAAAGCCACTAGTGTTTATGGCAACCCAGTTTTACAAATGGCAAAGAATTCAAGAAGTCACATAGTTTAAATTTGCATTTTTTTGTCTGGGCTTTCTTTTCCCTAGTTAATGGAGTTTCTTCAACCAGTGACGTCTCCAGACTCCCAGTCCTGTCAGTTCCTGGAACTCTGCTCTCCCCAGCTTTTCAACAAGGAAGCAATCACAGTGGTGTTTCAAATGAAAAGCAAAGCGCTGTCAACACTATCTCAAGGCCTCGACCTTCTTCTCTAAGAAGTAAAATTGATGCATGGCAGATTATTCCACGTATTATTAAACCAAACTCTAAAGACTCTGAATGTTTAGAGGGCAGTGTAGATCCAAATGTTAACTTCTTGTCAGATACTGAGGAAAGAACTAAGTGCCACATGCCCTCGTTACTTGATATTGATGTGGAAGGTCAAAACAGAGACTGTACTGTGCCTTTATGCAGAATGAAGAGCAAAACTTGTCGGCCATCTATATATGAACTGGAGAGAGAGTTTCTGTCGTGAGTGCCTTTCATTTTAAAAATATTTGCCTCATAAAGGGGAACAAATATAAAATTCTTGTCTGTCTAACACTTTGTGCTGCTGTTTTCTGATGTACTGTGACAAATAGTACCAAAACTATTAAAATGGGCAGCTAATTAAGTGTGGTAGGTGCCTTTTTCAAATGCTCCTTGGAATCCCAGCTAGTAGCTCTGAAAGCACAATGCTGCAAAATTGTATTCCAGGTGAACTTTGTAAATATATTTTGAATGATTAAAATAAAATGCCCACCTTCCTCTGCCACGTCACAAAATTTCCTTTAGGTTTGAGGGGTTTTGTTAGAAATTTAACTTTCACACATTAAAAAAAAACAAATTACATACAGAGCAAGGTTGCACTCTGTCAAGAGTTTCACCTAAGTAGTGGTGGTCTGAAGCTTGCCTCTGTGGCTTATAGGTTCAGGGAGAGGGACAAGGGGTTTAAGGTGCAGGTACAGGAGGCTCTGTTCACTCCTCATTAAGGAAGTGGTTACTTGCTGGCATTTGATACTGAAATTGGTTAAGAACCAGCAGCTTTATTTTCAGTTTTTATCCTTGGTTATTGTGAGAACTTTCTTAGTTTCTCCAGAAAGTTACACTGCTTGTATAAACATTTCAGTTTCAGCCACCATATCGATTTGAGAGGGTAAACTTCAGTATTGTGATTGGAGTAAAGGTATTTGACATACTTTGTAATGTGAAACAACATTCCTTGTAGGTAAGGATACACTGGAACGTAAATATTTGTACTCTTAACCTTTTGAAGACTACAGTGTTTGCACTGAAAGCAATATTCTTGGGTTTGAATTTTTTGTTTGTGGGGAAGGGGTTTGTCCCCCTTCTTGTTTTTTAAACTCTGCTGCACCTTGTATTGAAGAAAGTTGGTGGGTTTTAAGGATAATTGGTTTTAAGTGAGCCAGTGGTGCATATTATTGCACTTAATTTTAAAACTGCTATAATTTAATATGAAATCTTTCAGTATAATCTCTGTAGCTTTTATTCCTAAGGTACTAAGATACCTTATTCCTACTTTTATTCCTAAGGTACACTGAGTGCCTGCTTACTCTTATTTAGGAATCAAAGGACAGAAACAGATGTGCTTGACTGGTTTTCAGTGATAGAAAGTTTCCAGAAAATTCCAAGTAGTTAATTGTGGGGGGAGGAACATTTAGCTTTGATAACACTGGTAGTTTAATTTTTTACAGTATCACTAAGTTGCCCTAAGTGAATGATTAAATAAAACCAAATGTACAGTATACTTTCCATGATTAAACCATTTTTAGAATTAAAGGAACATCCCTCATTTTCGAGTATTTGAAGTCCTAATTTTGCAGATCATTTGACATTTAAATAGTTTTCATAAATGAAATTAGATAATGTTAGACTAAAGCTACTGTGTTCTCATCAGAATACTGTTTTTTTAAGACCTGTGTTTAAATCTTTTCTTCTCCTTTACTCTGGGGTCTGGGTGTGCAAATAGAATACACAGTTGCTTAAAGCTTCAAAACCAAGGGATTAAAAAAGAAAGTTTCTGTTCTAAGACTGTATGCACTACAGTATCCACCTGGAAGATGATATACAATTACACAAATGAAATCATGAGGTCTTAATCACACAGAGATTTTCACACAGGAAAGGTAACTTCCCAGCTCTCAGTGTGAAAATAGAAAAGAATTTTCCTTAAAGTATTAGTTTACCAAAAGTAAAGACAAAACCACTAGTTGCCTGTAAATCTAAATGCTCGCATAGCAGATTGTTACTATATTTTCTTCAAACCTGTTTCTGTCGCTGTATCCTTAGTTTCTGTCAACATGATTCAAGTCACATACTGTTTGTCTTCTGTTTCAACTTTAATTTCATCAGAACACTTTAATAGATTGTCTATTCCAGTTTTAATACAAAATGTTTTCCTAAAATAAAGTCATGAATCAAATTTTAAGTATAGATTAATAGCACATTTACCTTCAAGGCTTAATTAGAATCTTTGAGCATAATATTTCAACTCTTTATTGATCAATTATTTCTGTGTAATACTGAGAGAAAAGGAGTTGATTGTATTATATGTATCTGAAGAAAGTTTCTCTGTTTGGCTTTCTGCAGGAAAATCTCAGGTGCTGAAGTATTTTGACTTGTAAACTACTGTTAAGTTCTGTATTTTTAAGGTTTGTATAATTCCAAGTGTTGAATTTTGCACCCTGTGTTTTGTAATCGATAGTATCAGCCTAAAAAGCTCTTTGAGCTACATTGTTTTCACTTACTAGTGGCGTATAGCTCTTGTAATTAAACACAGATTTCTATTCCTGTTCAATGCATAATTTCCCGTAAGGTTGGGACATACAATATGGCCAGCCCAGTGAATTCTAAGAAATTTAGGAGTTTGTAGTCCATCTCTTATTCTGAGATAGCTTAGGTAAACCATCTCAAATATTTCTCTGATATGATGCAGTTTTTTTAAGCTATAGTCTATAGTGCTTTATAATTGTTTTTATAGTTTAAAATTATAGGCCAGTCTTCACTATAATTAAAAAGAAAAAACAATTCTTTCAATCATGGTTTCAGTCTGTAATTCACATATCACCAGAGAAGTTTTCTGTAAAGATATGGAAATCTGGTATGCATTATGTGACGTGTCTTGGTTAAAAGGATATTTATTTCAATGTAGGTTGATAGCCTGACCAAATAATAATTTATGTTGATTGTTTTAGCATGAAACTGAAGGTGCTTACACTACAAAGATTAAGATAAACACTTGATATACTGTTTTACAAAACCTGATGATTTAAATCTTTTTATTTAAAAAATAAATGTTTTGTAGTTACTGTATTGCAAAATGACCTGAATTTTCTTGAAAAATATATTTTAATGTTTTTTTAACATGTACAAAGGAGTTCTCTGGTGAATAACCAGGAGCTGTATACTATGGCCAGCCTGTTCTTGGAAGATTATAATATAATTGTTACTCTAAGATTAAGAATACAGTACAGTAACATGAACATTACTGTAATATCTTGCACTTGATATGGGCAGAAACATTTGGCATAAGCTTGGTTTTTTTCTTTGATGTGACCATAATATTCTTTTGATGCTTTTTACAATGTTCACTGGGTGTCTTAAAGGAGATAGAGTAGTGGATGTAAATAAAATAAACTCAGCATGTGATTCAGGATCAAGAATACAGCTAAGTAATAACATCCTTCTGTTGTGGGGTTTTTGTTGGGAGAGTCCATTTGTTCTTTGGGGGGTTTGGTACTTTGAGGTTTTTTGTTAGGTTTGTGGGGGTATTTTTAGGCAAATGAAGCCAGGATTTTCCTTATACTATTTTTAACAGCTTTTGTGATCTTCCCTCTTCCTTGATCATATCATGGGTGCATTAGCCCATTTTTCAGTCAGGAAGAGGAAGTATCCATTTCCACAGTGACATCAGGCAAGATACAGTGAAATTAAAATAGAAAAATATTGAATTTATAAGATTGCAAGCCCAGTCTCATGCCTGCACTCAGCTTGTAGTAAGACTGGCTGCACAACAAATACTTAAGTCACCTGTTAGTGTCAGTATGGAGCCCAGATTGTAAGCCAAGCTGCAGAGGCAGCTTATTTTATACACAGGGTTATAATGGTAATACAAAGATCTGTGTACAAGTGTGAGGTAATAGAAAAGATCACAGTGTCACCCAACACCTTCCTTTTAATGTAACTATTCAGATCACTATTGTGTATGCACTATGAGGAGCTGAGACTCTTACCTAATACATTTTTGATGCAGTTGGTGGTGCTTAAGACTGCAGTATTAGGTATTCTAAATTATGTCCAGAGTCCTTGCAAGGATGTAGTGGAATTTTTCATTAACAAATATGAGGCAGTTATCCCAATGCTAACAGAAATCCAATATGCTTGATATAGATAGTCTGATAAAATAGTTTCTTTAACCAAAATAAGTGCTTTTTCATCTAATAAGTTGAAGAATGGAATACAGAGCTATGAAGATAGGAGGTTTTTACTTTTTATTTCACAGAATCACGGGGTCATTTACGTTGGAAAAGACCTCTGGAGATGAAACAGTGTAAGCCCCTCAGACAGAGCAGGCTGCCCAAGACCATGTCCATTGAAGGGCACAGGTGGAGACTCCACAGCTTCTCTGGGCAATCTGTTCCAGTGTTTGACCATCCTCACAGTAGAAACATTTACTCCTATTCTGATCAAATTTCCTGTTAATTGGGGGTTTTGGGGTTGTTTAGTGGTTATTTTCTTGTTGATTGATTGGTTTTGGTTTTGCTTGTTTGCTTTTTGTTTTGTTTTTTTGTTTGTGCCCATTGCCTCTCATCCTGTCACTGGACACGGTTGAGAAGAGGTTACCTCTCTCTTTACCCCCTGTTATCAGCTATTTATGAACAGTGATAATAAGATCCTCCTGGACTCTTCTCCAGACCCAGCTCTCTCTGTCTTTTCATGGATGAAAGACCTTTCCCAGTCTTTGTGGTGCTGTACTGAAAAGTCTATATCTTTCTTGTTCTGGGGAGCCCAGAACTGGAGCCACCACTACAGGTGTGGCCTCACCAATGTTGAGTAGGATGACCTCCATCAATCTACTGGCACCATAACTAGTGCAGAGAACTGTTGACTGTCTTTGCTGTAAGGGCACATGGCTAGTTTCTGTTCAGCTTGTTGTCCATCAGGATTCTCAGTTCATTTCCTGCTCCTTCCAGGTGGCTGGTCCCCTGTGTGTACGTGGGCTTGTTCCTCCCCAAATGCACTTCTACTTCATGAGATTCCTCTTAAGCCCAGTTTTCCAGCCTGTCCAGGTCTCTCTGAATGGCAGCACTACCATCTGGTGCATCAGGCACTCCTGCTATTTTAGATTGTCTGTAAACTTGCTGAGTATACCCTGTCCCAACATCCAGGTTGGTAATGGAGGTGTTAAACCGTATCAGCTCTACCCCTGGGGTACTCCACCAGTGACATTTTAGCAAGTTATAGTTAAAACCATCTCATATTTTATTCATACAATCTAAAGTATTTCTCCTAAGTGATTTTGGCCGTTGCAATTCATCAATTGTTTTTTGGTTTTTTTTTTTTTTCCATTTCAAAGATAAAGATATAATGACCATTCTCAGATCTAGGCCTTAGTGAATTGCTTCAGTAGTTGAGATTTGGCATCAGGATGGCCTGAGTTCAGTGCATCTTGATGTAACAGCTTAAGTCTATTCAAAATATTTGCAATTTGCTTTAGAAGCAAAGTCATCAATTCACCTCGGGTGACCAAACTAGTCAAACTTCAGTCAGGTGTCACATTTGGTGTTACTTCTTTGAGCAGTCATTAATATGAAGTCTCATACCCTGCAACACTGCTAAATGGACTTTTGAAAAACATTCATGTTACATCAGAGAACATTAGTCTTCCACCACATAAAGCATGTTGTTACAGGGTCTGGCAACTCGAATCTCTTACAGCTGAAGGCATTTATGAGTACTCTGATCTCTGAAGGGGAGGGGGAGAGGCCACAGCTGTGAACTCCTCAGCAGAACACTGACAGTGCTTCTCCAAAGAAAGGTGCCCAGGGCAGCCATTCCTACTGTAGATGCTGAGTTCTTCCCATGCCAGAGAATTTGCACATGTGGTGTTGTCTTCCTGCCAACTCCAGATACACCTAGGTAAGATCTTTGGTGTAGCAGTAGTCACCATGAATAGTCTAGTCATCTGAGGGCTTGCCAGTCCTTATGAAAGCAGGTGGAAGTCTACAAATTTGGGGTAAAGGAGAAAATAAACAATAGGACTGTTCATTCTGCTCACTGTTTTGCAAATCACTCACATAATTCTAAACTCCCTTTTATGGCAGAGGGAATTAGGCAATAATATTTTACTAAGCCTTTCTGCTGCCTTCCAGACCAAAGCGACACTTGTGCCTTGTGCTAGATACCACTTACTCTGCCTGGTGAATGCTGTCAGTGGTTGGGAGAGTGCAAAATTTTATTTCCAAGCCTGATAGAGGTCATTGTGCTAAGAAGCAAATGAAACAAACATCAGGTGTATCTGCCAGCAGTCTAGGTGAGGGAGAGATACATACAAGACATATATTGTCCAGTTACTTAAGTTGTATTGAGCACGTGGCTCCTGGGAGTGCTGGAGAGTCTCCTGCAGGCTATTTTCCAGGGGCAGAGTATTCACCCAAAGAAAATCCACTCCTGTTCCAGAAGTGGCCTTCATATGGTTGTATGCCTTTTTGACTCTGATTAGGGGTGTGTGTGTCTCCTTCAGTGCATGTGCCAGCTGAAATGGTTAAGGCAGAAGTAACAGCAATTCTATCACTCTTTTGTCCCACTTTCATCAAAATATTTATTTTTCTCACTGTAGAACCCTGGAAGTTATTGATGTTGGTGGCTTCACTCTTGATAATCAAAATTCTTATCACCAACTCCCTGATTCCTTCTTATTTGTGATGCAGCTGCTTGATGGCTGACTTTGGGGCTAAGATACCAACATCCTAGTTTACTCACAATAAATAACTTGTTGCACAGAAACTTATGGGCAGGGGAATAGCCTTGTCTTATTTATTCATTATACCTCAACTTTAACCCACCAAAAGCATATTTTGGGTGCCTTTTCAGGTTTGGGTGGTTTTTACTGTGATGGTTCTCCAGCTAAGTAAATTCTATTGGTTTATACAAACAGGCTATTAAGAGGAAAACCTGTACTGTCATCATCTATACCTAGAAGATGCAAAGAACAGATACTATCTAAAGCATATTAAGAGTTGTCATAGTGTGGAGTCATCAAGCTTGATCATTTTATCAAGTTAGGGAAACTCTACAGAATGAATATGTATATTTTTAGGCCTCCAGAGATACTATTTCCACAGCTGTACAGTATATTTAAAATAAAAGTGTGCCTATCACCAATTTCTATTTTTTAAACAGGGTTCTGAATCCCTTAAAGAAAGTCACGGGTACTCATAATGTTTGCATATTATGTGCTTGTAGATACTAAAAGCAAAGAGATACTCTTAGAGCTGTGAATATATTCCTAGAACAGTTTTTCTCCCTTCATTCTAAAACCTTTCAGCACTTTGAGGCTTTGCAAGAAGAATGGCAGTGCTCCCTCCTTCTAGCTGTGTGTCAGGTAAGTAGAGGGAGTTTGGCTCCAACAGATATTGCTGGAGGTAATTCTAGGATAAAACTATAGTATGAATATACATACAGTGAGTACTTTTTGAAAAGAGAAAACTACCCCAGCTTTTGCGAACAATGATTGTAGTACTTGTTTTGAAAATTATTAATTTTTGTGGTACCTGATGAATTTTTTTGAATACCTGTGGAAGTCAGAAAAGAATGAGACTGGGTTACAGCTGAAAAGAAGCCTAAATAAAGAACTTTGATTTTTATTTCGTCCTTCTCTATATAGTACAATTTAAGTTCATCTTGCTGTTAATATTGAAAAATCCCAGAGATCCTGTAGTCCACAAAAGCCTTCATGTGAAATAAAGTACTTAAAAATTGCAGTTCAGACCTTACCACATGAAGCAGTGAGATACAGGTACTCCAAGCATCTAATTCTTGTAATGCAAGCCAGTTAGCTTTTTCTCTCTGGAAAGAAAGGATAAAAACTGAAGAGTGTTGGTTCAGTATGGTATAAGAGATGACAACAGCTTGGATGACACCAAGTTGGGTGTGACTGTTGACCACTGGAGGGTAGGAAAACTCTGTGGAGGGATCAGGACAGGCTGGACAAATGGGCCAAGGCCAATGGTATGAAGTTCCACCATGAGCTGGGTCCTGCCCTTGAATCACATTTCTCTCACAGGGAATTAGTTTGAAGCCGTACCTTTGAT